AGGGTAAATGCTTAATTCTTCCCTTTATTTACCAAGTTTTAGAAGTTTAGTAGCCTTCAGTGAAAAGCTATTTTGCTGTTTTGTTAGTTTCCTCTGATCAAGGAATTTTATAGATCTGCTGAATTTTAGTCCATTGTCATTCTTTTCATACTCAGTTTGTCCTCTTACTAAAGGGAGGCTTAAAAAACAAGATTTCCTTAGAGAGAGCATACGCTTGCACACTTGCATGAGTGAGTGGAGGGGCAGAGGGAGAGGGGGAGAGAGACAAGCAGTCTCCCCGCTGAGCGGGAAGCAGGACTTGGGGCTCCTCTGAAGTCTCCATCTCATTACCCTGAAATCATGACCTGAGCTGAAATCAAGAGTTGGACACAACCAACTGAGCAGCCTAGGTGCTTCTTGCCAAAAGGAGTCTTCAAAAAATTTTTTTAAATGCAGTCTAATTTTTAGAGCAGTTTTAGGTTCACACTAAATATTGAAAGACACAGATTTCCTATATACTCCTTGTCCCTCCCTGCCCCCTCCGACCTCCCCACACACATTTTCAAGTCCAATGAGAGTCTTTTCATTTTGGCTCCTGTGTCTTTCTGACATGACCAGTAGTCTTGGATTTCTTCCTTGCTTTCTAGAATGGCAAGATTGAATCAACCATTCAGGAGCCTGGCTCCTTCTAAGGGGAAATGCTATTTAAAGGCTATAATCCGAACAGTGGGATGCCATTCCTCCTGAGGTGTTTTGTTTTGTTTTGTTTTGTTTTTAGGTTTCCAGGCTCAGCAGACACATCTAGGAAATATGTGTTCTTTAGAAAAAGAAAATAAATCATGAATTTATATTGATATTTCCAAGTGAAGTTATCAGGCTTATACTTTTAAAGTATGAGACACTTCTTTCACTGAAAAATCTTTTCTCACAACATTAACAATTACTTTTTTTACTTTGTCCCAATTGTACACATAAAGGTATCAAAGTAGAAGTGTTATCACTAAAGATTATTGAACATGATTGTAGCTTTCTTTGCCGTTCTTTTTCATCTTTAGGCTATACTGGTGAATAGTTATAATCAAATGCTATGTGTCAAGCCACCTGAAAGGTTTACTTCTTTTGTTTATGGCTCTATGACCAATTTGATCTGCTAGATTCATTTTTTGTCTCTTTTCAATTTTTTTTAGAAATGGCTTCTTTCTTCTCATTCACTTTTTTTTTCTTTTAAAGATTTTATTTATTTATTCATGAGAAACACACACACAGAGAGGCAGAGACACAGGCAAAGGGAGAAGCAGGCTCCATGCAGGGAACCTGACATGGGACTCGATCCGGGGTCCCTAGAATCACCCCCTAGGCTGAAGACGGCGCTAAACCGCTAAGCCACCTGGGCTGCCCCTCATTCACTTTTCAACACAGGCAACCCCTCCCCCCACTCCAGCAAAACTCCTTTTGGGCCACACTTAGCTCCCTCATTGCCAGAATCAGCAGCCACTTTGATACATCTCTTATTTGATTGTTAAGGAACATTTGACTCTTGATCTTTGTCCCTCTCTTTTAAGCTTTTTAAATTTATTTATTCATGAGAGACACAGAGAGAGGCAGACACATAGGCAGAGGGAGAAGCAGGCTCCCTTTGGGGAGCCCGATGGGGGGGGGACCGGATCCCAGGACACGGGGATCACACCCTGAGCCATAGCCATCCAGGTGCCCCTTATGTCCTTTTCTTAAGTACACTCTGGAGGCAGTTATACCATTAGCTCCATTTTATAGAGGAGAAAGGGGAGACCTAGCTTAAGGAATATGGCCAGGTCTCCCAGCTAAGTGGAGACAGCTGGTTTTAAAACACATTTTTAGTTTATTCCATTGTACAAATTAGCCTCAAAAGAAGGAGCAGCAAGGAAGGGCCCCCTGATCTCCTAAAAAGCCACAGTTCCTCACGGTAAACCTTTTCTCAAATACTGAGCCCTCTCTACAGTGTAGAACTAATAATTATGAACAAAAACCATTCATTTGAAACTTTTTTCATTCAAAACTTCTCTCTCTACATTTGTGCTAGCTTCATGCATTTCTTTGTAAACCAGACTTAGGGAAATTCTGTTGTGTTCTAAAGGTATGTCTCACTTTAAGAAAAACCGATTTTATTTATTTTTTTAAGAGATTTATTTATTTATTCATAGAGACAGAGAGAGAGGCAGAGGGAGAAGCAGGCTCCATGCAGGGAGCCCGATGCGGGACTCGATTCCGGGTCTACAGGATCACACCCCAGGCCGCAGGCGGCGCTAAACCGCTGCGCCACCGGGGCTGCCCGAAAAACCGATTTTATATGAAGATTTTAGTTTTTCAAAGTGCAGAAATTAAAAAATGAAAAAATCCTTAGACCTTATTTTAAACATTTTTATTTTTTTTTATTTATTTATGATAGTCACAGAGAGAGAGAGAGAAGCAGAGACACAGGCAGAGGGAGAAGCAGGCTCCATGCACCGGGAGCCCGACGTGGGATTCGATCCCGGGTCTCCAGGATCGCGCCCTGGGCCAAAGGCAGGCGCCAAACCGCTGCGCCACCCAGGGATCCCTAGACCTCATTTTAAAGACTTTTTAGAACTAAAAGGACTCAAACATAGAATTCCCTTAAATCATGAAACCTGCCTGACATATTTAAAGTATTCAATTCAATGTGCTGTGTTACCAGAAAATGCAAAGCAGAGATGTCTGTAAATGTATTGCCTGCTTCTCAATCTGAATGGATAAATTTCTAATCTTCAAACCTGTAATGAATTTGCTACATTACTGTCTTTACTGTATCTTCAGTATATAATAAAGGAGTAATCTACTGCTTTGCAGAATAATTAAACTGAGGCCATTTCATTCTAACCACAAAGAAATGCAGATTTCCCCGTTTGGCATTCTTCTTTTCAAAAAGGTTGCTTAAAGTGGTATTTAAAAGATAATTCTAGCTTGCTAAATTTAGGGTGTGGAAAAAGTCCAAAATGAGAATATTCCATGGGTAATTGTGCAAGAAATGTTAATATGTGCAGTAAGGAGGATGTCCTACACTCTCCATGCATTTCTCTTTCCTCCTCCTTTTTTCCTTGACACCAGCATAAAATTGAGCAAGGTTAAAAGTTACCAGAAGCAGTAAAAAAAAAAAAAACGCTTTTCTCACCTCATTTTAAATATTAAATGATTTCATATCTGAGTAATTTCTAAAACCACCCTGATGTCAGAGCTTCCCTTCAAAATTTATCAGCAAGTACATGTCTTCACATTCAAGGCAGATTTCTGGTCATTCTCAGTTCACTTGCAAACAGAGAAGCTAACTGTAAAATTTAATATAAGAAGTGTGCTAGAATCTGAAGTTTGCTTTTAAATGCTTTGAAAAATACATTACAAATACAACAAGATGTTCATTATGGAATACCTAATTCTTCAACCTGAAAAGGAAAGTGGTAGTGGATCCCAAGGTTAATGCAGAAGGTCACCTTAGCTCCCAGATAGCGGCCCAACCGGGTGTCTGTGGATGAAGCTGTGTGGGATCTTGGATGAGCTGGACACTTAAGACCTCAGCAAGCTTCCCATACTGCAGACTGGGCACCAGGGATGATGAATGTGGGGGTCTCTGGGGTCCAGAGAATAGATCAGTTGTTTCATAGTGTGTACAGAGGATGGAGGGAAAGGAGTCATCTGTGGAAGACTCGAAGTCTCATGAATAATTTGGAGAATAAGGCAAACAGTGTACACAGAAGATGAGAAAGTTGGTGGTTCAGGGTCAAAGGCAAGAAAACTATTTCTGGAGTGACTGAGTTTGTGATGAAGGTTCATGCTTACAAAGTAATATTGAGAACCACCACTAAATTGCTTGCCCCTTTGTCTTTATCCATCCAGATTCATAATACTCCAGTTCCTTCATCACAGGGCTTTTCAAAGCTTTTTCCGCAGATGTAAAAAAATCTGAATAAAATTATGCAGCAGAGATTTGGACAATACTGAAGAATACTGAAGGAGGCAGAGAGGATGAACCCCTGGCTGGGTATAGTCACACTATTGCACCCTGAATTTGTCTGGATTTTTCTTGACTTATGCCCAACTTGACATCCAATTGCTTCCAAATCAGCTTTTCTCAACTGAAGCAAACCTGGTTTTCCCTTCTGCTGGGTTTAGATTTATTGGCCCCTTTTATATTGCATCATGCCTTTAAAGCCATCATGGATTTCCTTCCTGTCTTGGAGGATTTCAGCCACCTTCTTGAGACTTAATGAGCAGCTACAAATATTAAAATATTTAGAAACCCAGAGCTGGTCCCCAGGGGAGCTCACACCACCATCTGGGTAAAAACTCTTAGTGATTGGTGTATCTTTTGAACCACTCATGTCAATCATGGCCCATCCCGGAGGGTTCTGCAGTGGCTTTGGTGCTCTCAGTAATATCTGAGAATAGGCTAAGATGAAGAAAAAAGAGGGAGAAAAAAAGGAACAAAAGAGGAGAGAAGATAAGAAAAATATGCTGAGGTATAGCAGCAGTGGGGAGCGATGAAGACTGAAGAGCAGTAGGAGACACCAAAGATGTCTTTCTCGTACTCCTGGTGCTGGAAGTTTCCCCTTCTACAGAGCATTCCCTGGTTTGTTGTTAAGACTGTCATGTAGGGACAGAAGCAGAAGCCACTTCACGTGATCCTGGAGTCCTGGAATCGAGTCCCACAATGGGCTCTCTGCGTGGAGCCTGCCTCTCTTTCTCTCTCTGTGGGTGTCTCTCATGAATAAATAAAATCTTAAAAAAAAAAAAAGCAGAAGCCACTTCAAAGCACAAAGGGGACACTGGCCATATTCCCTCCCATACCTCCATTTACAGAGTATGTCATTTATTAAAGGAAGAATTGAATAAGCGTGATTTCTTAGAAAGTAGAACCAATAGGAATCCAGTGCTGTTGATGGTCTATGGTCTGGGGCATGGTAGGCAGCCTGATTTTCTTCCCATGAATGGCATTGGTTAGGTATCAGCCCACATGACTAATCAATCATTTGACCTCCTTGTCTCCAGTTTGATCCCATCCGTTGCTCTGAATCTGTGCCTATGGCTTTGACAGAAAAAGATTCACCTGTACTGAGTGATATGGTCAAGGGCATCCATGTTATTCTGACACCCAGAAAGCAGAGGGTGGTAGACTGGAAGCCACAGGCTGTTGGTCGGGGATGGGTGGGCATGGCAAAATCAGGCAGGCATAAAAAGCCCTAGTGAGAATGGTAAGGGCCCCAGCGGGGTGACTTTTGAGTTGGAATAGAAGACTTGGGACGCCTGGGTGGCTCAGCGGTTGAGCATCTGCCTTCAGGGCGTGATCCTGGGGTCTGGAATCGAGTCCTGCATTGGGCTCCCTCCCTGTAGGGAGCCTGCTTCTCTGTCTGCCTGTGTCTCTGCCTCTCTGTGTATCTCTCATAAATAAATAAAATCTTTAAAAAGTACATTGCTGTTAGTCCTAGGTCATACACATAATAACCTGATAACAATTTTTCTTTTCAAGATTTAGGGTGCTCTGTGCATGGGGAAGTGAGAAGCAGCAGAAAGAGAACTCTTTCCTCTGCTGGCAGAAAAGTGCCCCAGAGACATAGGCCACAACCACAAGCAAAAAGTTAGAGAAACTTGTTATTAAATTTAATTTTCTTTAAATACATACCTTTGCCCCACCCTCACCTGCTCCAGGTGGGGGCGAGGACACCCCCCTCCCTCCATTCAGGGGCTCCCACATATAAAGCCTGAGATGGTGAGGAGAAAGTATAAAAATACTATTTACAAAGGGGAAGAAGGTACCTGTTGCTGCCCTAACCTTCAGACACCCCTAACCCCAGGCCCCTTGCTCCTTTAAAAAAAAGCCTCTAGGAATTCATCTGAATAGAGAACAAGCCCTTCCTCTAGCGGGGGGCATTCAAACCCCAACACAGAATAGGAAGCTTGGAGATTAACTGAGGAAGAGAGTGAACGGATAGCACCTCAGACTCCAGCAGGGAGTGGAAAGCACATGCCCTCCATGACCCTGCAGTCACAAAGGCCCCATGTAAACATTGACTTTCCTTTTCCCATGTCCCTGCTCTTCCTGACTTCCTATAGAGCCTTCCCTCCCTTCCACTGGAGGCACTTGGTTCCTTGATGGTTCCTTGACAGACCAACCTTCCTACCTCCCCTTCTCACCTTTCTATACAAGGAGTGAAGAGGGGAGGGAGGTTACAGGTGGGACACGGCCCATCTTGTCCCTTCTTCTAGGTCAGGGCAGCCTGTCCTCCTAAGGGGAATCCTCCAGGGGTAACTCCAGGTTCTCAGAGAAGAGCAGATTGGCTTCCCCAGCAGGGACAGGCAGGTAGACAGGCCAGTACCAGGATACAGTGTTTTTTTTGATGGGTGACACCATTAGTTCTGAGTAGCAGGAAAGAAGGCTTCAGGAGGCAGAAAGGTGGGACAACTCTGGCCTTACCCTGATGGTGGGAGACCAGCCCTGCATTACTGCCCCTTCAGGTAAGCACGTCAACCACTACCCAACAGTTTAGTTCTCTGTAGCTGTGCAGAAGGACCAGGCACCCGTGAAGCAAGAGGTCTTCTCCAGGCCTTGGTGCAGAGGCAGCACTCACACCAGCTCATCCAATAGGATCCCGATGCTCTGTGTGGCCTCCGAGGGCCCAGCAATGGGTTTGTTACACATAGGGCAGACACAGCGTACTTCCAGCCACTTCACCAGACACCTGTGGGCAGAAGACGACCTGTTTTTGCCTTAAGAAGACACCCAGCCTGTTCCATTGGCCTCTCATAGGGCCCAGCTGCTTCTCAGAACAAGAACATCTGTCCTTGCCCCTGTCTAATCCCTCCGGTTGCCTGTGTCCAGACAGGATGTGGCGCATCACTGGCAAGGGGTAAGATGGGAGAGGGTAAGGATTACAGGTTCTAGGAGATGCTCCCTGCTTATTTCTTTCAAAAGGCATCCCTGGAAACTCCCCACATTGGACACTTACTTCCGGTGAAAGGCATGTTGGCATGGGAGCACACCTAGCTCATCCTTCCCCTTGAAGTCTTCCAGACAGACTGCACAGGTCTGCTGTGGGAAGAAAGGGGCAGCATGAGAGGAGATTGGGGAAGAACCATCATCATCACCATCAGCTCATCCCCGCCCAAGAAAACTAAGCTAGGCTAAGCCTGGTTTCCGCATCAGCCACTGAAATTTGAGTCAGAGGGTAACCATTAACCACACATGATGTTTCCACTGATTAAAAGAAGGTGAAATTAAAAGTTGAGTTCCTCATTTGCACTTGTTAGATTTCAAGGCCTCAGTAGCTGCAATGTGGATACAGCAGCTCCCATATGTGCAGATATATAACATTTCTATCATCACAGAAATTTCCATTGACCAGTACTATTCTAGAAGAACTGCTTTTTAAAAAGCATTTTATTTATTCATGAGAGACACACAGAGAGAGGCAGACATCTAGTCAGAGAAGCAGGTTCCCTGCGGGAAGCACGATGCGGGACTCAATCCCAGGACCCCGGGAACACAACTTGGGCCAAAGGCAGATACTCAACCACTGGGCCACCAAGGTGCCCCTAGAAGAATATTTTTTAATCCTTTCTTGCCTAGTGTATTTGGCAAGGAGGCATGTATCAATAACTAGAGGTAAGGATGGGGCATGGTGTTTGGTTAATAGTCTTTAATAAAATCTGGCTTTATGTCATTATATATTAACCCCTCAGAGCTGAACTCTTCCTCTCAAGGAGGGAACACTGGAATTTGCTGAGATGCAAGAGCAGGCATCACAAGGAGGGATGAGGGGCATGTGGGTGGCTGGGTAGGTTAAGCATCTCCCTTTAGCTCTGGGTCATGATCTCAGGGTCCTGGGATTGAGCTCTGAGCCCAGAGTCAGGCGGGATCCCCACTCAGTGGAAAGTCAGCTTGTCCTTCTGCCTCTCCCCTCCACTCATGCTCTCTCTCTCCCTCTCAAATGATAAAATATTTATTTAAAAGAAAAGGGTAGGCAGGCCAGGTGGCTCAGGGGTTTAGTGCCGCCTTCAGCCCAGGGCCCGATCCTGGAGACCCAGGATCGAGTCCCATTGTCAGGCTCCCTGCATGGAGCCTGTTTCTCTCTGTCTCTCTCTCTTGCTCTCATGCTCTCTCATGAGTAAATAAATCAAGTCTTAAAAAAAATAAAAAATAAAAAAATTTTAAAAAAGGGTAGGGGGATGCCTGGGTGGCTCAATTGTTGACCATCTGCCTTTGGCTCAGGGTGTGATCCTGGGGTCCTGGGATCGAGTCCCACACTGGGCTCTGTGGGGAGGAGCCTGCTTCTCTCTCTGCCTATGTCTGTGCTTCTATTTATTGATGACACATACACACATAAAAACATTTAAAAAATAATTAAATTTAAAAAATGGTTAAAGGAGTCATTCCTAGGCCATCTTGTGTCTAGCAATACCTGCAGATCCTCCCAGCTCCCAGACAACCACAAACACCCTGTGTACAAGTGTCTGTGGTTATGGGCAGAAGCCTTCAGAAAGAAAATGATTGATCTCATGGGCGCAAGTAGGAAAGGAAGAGGAAATGGTCTTCTGAAGCATCCATGTGAGAAGACCCAAGGACTTGCTAATTAGCTGGGGAGAGGACTGAAGGGGAGACAGGGAAAACCACAGGGATGGATACACCTGTCAGACGCAGTCTGCTAGGACGGAGTGCGTGCCTGTGGGTAAAAGGAAGGGCAGCTGGACTCTGTGGCATGTCTATGGCATGGGGTGGTGTGTCCTTCCTTCCCTTAAACATTATGCATGGCAGCCCTCCTAGGGCCAGGTCACCACTTACACCAACCCTTTTGTGATCTGTTTCCAGCCTGCGCCTGTTGCAGACATCATGAATTCCATACTGATTAGCTACTGGAACAAGTCACATTTATCTGACCTAAGGAGATAGGAATACGGTGCCTAACATTCCCAAAAGGCCCAGGCTGAGAGCTGGAGGACAGGCTGTTTTGCCTTGCCAGCGGGGCCCTCCTGCATGCTAGACTAGTACGCTTACCCCATATAATTGCAGTTTCTTGGCATCTCCTTTAAGTACCACCTGGGAAGAAAGAGAGGAGGCATGGTGTCAGAAGGGGCCAACCACAGGGACCGGGTGCTAGCCACCAAGGAAGGGAGTCCCCAGCCCTGCACAGGAGTGTCCTCTTCTCCCTCTGATGAAGGGAAAGGGCTTCGGACACAGCCCTCGACAAGCAAGAGGTGAGAATAGTACAGAGCCTTAGCCTCACAGGAAGCCAGAGGTGAGGCCAAGCGGGTTCCAGGCCAGGACTGCTTCAGCTTGCTTGCAGCCTGCCCTCCCTCTAGCAGGGCAAGTGGCAGGAGAGGACGTCTCAGGGAAAGGGACAGCACCTTACCTCCTTATAGCCGTATCGTTCACTCTGTGCCTGGTTCCGGAGTTTGCTGGGGGAGAATGAGAGAAAGGGGAGAGAAGAGGTTACTACGCCTTGGTACAAACGGAGCCATTCAGAGTAAGAGAGGCAGGCGGGCTGTGTGGGCCATTCTTCTGGGGCTGGGGACGCTGCTGACCACAGGGCTCTCTTATCCCATAGATGCCACGGAGGATGGCCTGGACCTACGCAGGTCACCCAGAGCGGATTAAGTACTCAGACTCTTTCTCAGGCCCAACAGCCTCAGAACTCACCATCAGGTCCCACAGACTGAGGAATTCCGGAATCAGAATTGTTCATTCAAACCCCCTGCTATTTCCCAGGACATCAGTGCCTTGGAGCTCCCTGACTCTATGGACCAACAATCTGCTTACTGACCATAGAGAAGAAGGTAGATATTCTTTCTTTTTTTTTTTTTTAAGGATTTTATTTATGAGAGAGAGAGAGAGGCAGAGACCCAGGCAAAGAAAGAAGCAGGCTCCATGCAGGGAGCTCGACGTGGGACTTAATCCCAGGACTCCAGGATCACACCCTGGGCTGAAGGCAGGCGCTCATCCACTGAGCCATCCAGGTGTCCCGAAGATAGATATTCTTAAAAAAACGGATATTGCCATTAAGCCAGGGGTGGGGGGAGGGCAGGATAAATAAGGCTGTTGCCCCTGGGGGCTCTTCCTCCTGCAGAACAAACGCGCACTTTCCCCTTCACAACACTGGGCGAACACAGATGATCCCTCCTTTGGTTTACTTCCTTTCGGTTTCAAGCTGGTGGCCTGCACACAACCTAACTCTCCATAGCCAAAACACAGGGCGCTGTTAATGGCAATGACACAGTAGTTATGGAGGACTTGCTATGTGTCCATCCCTGTACTAACATATGCACAGGGGCACCTGGGTGGCTCAGGGGTTGGGCGTCTGCCTCCAGCTCAGGGCAGGGCATGATCCTGGGGTCCTGGGATTGAGTCCCACACAGTGCTCCCCACAGGGAGCCTGCTGCTCCCTCTGCCTAGGTCTCTGCCTCTCTGTGTCTCTCCTGAATAAATAAATCTCCTTAAAAAAATAGTATATGCACAGACTTTGAGAGAAACTTTCCTTTTTACAGAGGAAGGAAACGAAGTCCAAAGTTAAGTAACTTGCCCAAACCTCACAGCTAGTTGGCAGCAGAGGCAGATTTGAATCAAAGTCTACCAAAATCAAAGATTTTGGAGCCTGAGCTCTTTAACGCATACGGTGGCAGCCTGTTTCCCCTATTAGGTGCATACAGTCCTAAGAATGATACCAGACCACTTGGGAAATACTCATCAACAGGGCCACAACTAATGGCAAGGCCATGATTATGCATTATCATCATCATTGCCGTTTTATTTGCAGTGAGAGAAATCTTCCAAATTAAGCAGGTAGTTCTGTGTCCTCCTATACTTGGGAGTCAGATGGGGCTCCCTCTCCACCAGTCACTCCTACCAAAGACCTGGTTTATTGGAAGGAAACATCAGAAGCCCACCAAGTTACAACAGGTGTGGCACACTATGGCCAAAGCCAGCTGAACACTGGTTTTATAGGGATCGTGTGCTAAAACTGATTTGTATGCTGAAGTGGTGAAAAAGTAGACATCAAAAGAATATTTCATGTCATGTGAAAAACATATGAAACTCCTATTTCAGTGTCCACAAAATTTTATTAGAGCACAGCGAGGCTCATAGTTTCCAAATTGTGTACGGCTGCTTTGTGTAATTAAGATAGCAATTGTGTGACTTGCAAAGCCCCAAATGTCTGTCCTTTTGCAGAAGATGACTGCTGATCTGAGTTAGAGGAAGAGAGTCTCAAATCATAAGCCTCAACCAAAAGGAGAGAAGATGCTCGCTCCACGGACACTGTGGACAAGCTGACTTGCTACCAGAGCTGGGGAAGGTGCAGAACTCAGGCCAGAGCAGAGCCGTGCCCAGAGCACAATCAGGGAGCGGATCCGGATCTGGCTGCCAGCCACCTCCATTGTTCTTAATAGAAGTCTGGGGCCTGGCAAGGCTGTGTAACCAGAACTTCTTAAGATCTCCAGTCTAGGGGCACCTGGGTGGCTCTGTCAGTGGAGTGCCTGACTCTTGGTTTCGGATCAGGTCATCTTAGGGTGGTGAGATCGAACCCCCTTGTCGAGCTCTCTGCTCAGTGCAGAGTCTGCTTGGGATTCTTTCCTCCTTCCTCCCCCTCCACTCTTTCTTTTTCTCTAAAAATAAACAAAATCTTAAAAAAAAAAAAAGAAAAAAGAAACCCTCCAGTCCCCAGGTGCTTGGTTGGCTCAGTCAGTGGAAAATGTGACTCTTGATCTCAGGGTTGTGAGTTTGAGCCCCAAAATGGGTGCAGAGATTACTTAAAAATAAAATCTTAAGGAAAAAAAAAAGGCACTCCAGTCCAGGTGGACTCCCTCACCATGGGGCTAAGGCCCAGGGCAGCACATCCACTGGAGAGTTTCCGGTCATTGGAGGGTTGAACCAAGGCCTAACAGGCACTCCCACTGTCCAGACCTCAGCTTTACAGGGAACTCCATAGTGCACAAAAGCCTTTCATATGCATGCCTTTCTGTCCCCGCCTCCAAACCAGAAGGGCAGGCAAGGATGCATCCAAAGCTTACATGAACTGTTACCTGGCTGACACAGAATTAAGCTGGGGAAGGAAGAAAGTGTTCTCATGATCAAAGTGCTCACAGCCGCCTTCTGAGGGAGACACTGCTGCTGTTGTTGGCAGCTGTGTATGAGAGCAAAGGAGGAAGTGGTAAGTGGCCTGCTTTTTTAACCCAGAGAAGGAGGGGAGGTCACACATTTTTTGGGGTCTCGACAGCTTCACCTGCAATGTGGCTCTAAGCAAGTGGTCTGTGCCGTGCCTTTCTGCTTGTTGTATCATAGGATGTGCGGGATGCCCCCTTGCCCACCCTCATCCCCTTTGTCTGCCTGGCTCCACCTACCTAATGGTAGGATCTGAACACCCTCCAGAAGCCGGGCTGTAGCCCTCCCTGTACCAGCAGCACAGTGAAAGGCTTATAACCACCCCTTCCACCCTACAGTGTAGATTTCTGGAACAGGAAGGTATACACTGTGATAAAATGGGGCCCAAGGAGTTTGCAAGGGAAATAAAGCAAAAGGCAAACCAATACCCTGGGCCATCCCAGCAGAGGATGTGGTGCCAACAACTTTGGACAGGTGGCCATCTCAGCTGTTGGGTGAGCAAAGCTACTAAAAATACTCTGATTTCAATGAGACCATTTCTAGCCACTGCCAGTGGGCTCTCCCTTGCTTCTTTTTCCTTTTGGCGCAAACAATGCAACCAGGTCCTGAAAATAATTGTTCCTTTCCTGCCTGTTTGTACCTCTCCGGCCCCTCCATCCTGTGTAGGGCCAGAGGTCAGCTCTTGGGGAACGGGGAAGAATGAGTGAGGGCGAGCCGGAGAGGGGAGGCTGGTGTTGGCCAATGAGCTCGCCAGGTGGAGAGCAGGGGGTCATGGGCCTATTTTGGCCGTGGAGGAAACTGAGAAGCAGGGAGAGGAAGTGGCTTCTGCGCTTGTGTATCTTTCTATATATAGGCACCCACAGGCTGCCGCACACCAGCGAGCCTCTGGAACCATGAAGCTCCAGGGTTAACTGGTTTTGGGCAGGCTGCAGAACAGAAGGTGGGGTGACGGAAGGGGCCGATTACTGCATAAGGGACAGGTGGCACCAAGTGTCCCCGCAGTCAGGAAAGCTTTGGGGATCATGTGGTTACTGTTCTGTTCTTTGCCTCCAGCCAGACAAAAATAAATCCACCCTACCTAGCTCCCCAGCCTGTCTTTCTGTGGAACCCTGATCTTGGGCTGCAGGGGGGTGGTGAGCGAGTGCCCTAGCTATTCCTCCACCCGCCCCCGTTCAAGGAGTGAGAATCAGAGAAGGCAAATGTATGGAATCTGAAGGGCTCTAGCTAATGACCACCAGCCTAGCACACCTCTGGCTCTTCCTCGACATAGGACCTTGGGCAAACCCTTAACTGCTTGAGCATGAATTTCCTCACTTACTACGTGGGCAATACATGCGCTGGAGGCCTGGGGCGGGAAGTGGGGGTGGTTCATAAAACACCAACCACAATGTGGCACACAGAAGGCACTTGGTAAACAGTGGCTAAAACCCAGGGTCACACCTATTAGTGGCAGAATTAGGGAATGAACCCCAGTCACCCACATCCTGCAGAGTGCTTTTTTCCAGATTTTTCTTTACTCAACCCCTTTGCAGCTTGGGTGCACAGACGTGAAGCTGCTTCCTTAGACTCCTCCCCCAGAAGCAGACAGAAACCTTTGGTATTTGGTGTGTCTCCATCTTCAGTCTCTGGGGAACAGCCTGAATTGCTTGGGGGGGGGGGAAATGGGGGTGGGGGTGGTCAAGAAGAAAGAAAACTTGAGGAAGAAAATATAGGGTTGGGGAAAGGGAACTGGGGGATGGAGAGCTACTAGAAAAATTGCCCCAGACTCCTATCTATGCAAATTTTAGGCTCAGCTGTACAAGAGGGAAAAATAAACAACGATCTTCTCTGCATAAACTTTTAAGTGAAAACTCTAGTCCCAGGCACTTTCTAAAGTTCTGAGAAAGAAGAGGCCCAAAGTAGCTGACGGGGGCACCCAAGGCACTTCCCCTTTTTTGGAGGAAGCTCTTCTAGCCTCAGGAATCTGGAGGAGTGTCTCTTCCCCCCTAGCCTCCTTCCAGGTGAAGCACTCAGACCCACCAAGATATCTCAGCAGGGAGCCAGAACACCTTTGTTCCTTCATCCTAATTTAAATGATTAATGATGAGACTCCAGCTGACAGCTATGCCAGCATTTGGTCAAGTGTGTGGCGGAGGGGAGGGAGTAGCTATCGAAATGGCCCTAAGGATCCCTAGGGTACTCTACTCAGGGGTGCTCAATGCTCTCCAGTCTGCAGGACTGGTCCCCTACAATGAGGAACTGTTCATACCAAGAGCAGGCCCTGGTCAGAAACACTAATTTCCACTCAAAATACCAGTCATGCCCCAAATTTTTGGTAGAAAACCAGCCACCAGTTCCCACGTCTTTCAACAGGAGGTGAAGAAACAGCTCATCCTGGAGCCTGACTAGCCCTGCCATGCTCAGGTCCTTCCCTGGATCTCTACGCAGTAACAAGTGATGTTTTAGGGTTTTTTTGGTGTCCCCCACCCCCACCATCAAAAGAGCTTACAAGGCGGAATAAACAACCGGCTCTCCAGACATCAGCTTGCTAATATTAGCATCTGGAGGGCTGACAACAGGATTTCCCAGGAGGGCAGAGGAACATGCCACTGGTGTAACTGATGCCCACCTATCCCTGCTACCCAGAGATTGTGAGCGGGGGAGTGGAGACACTGAACGGACGACTCACGATAGGACTTGGTCAGACTGTAATCCTAGGCCACCTTTTGAATAACTGGCCAGAGGTGCGATGCAGCTCAACCAATGGTGACCTTATATGCTCTGGGACAATTTGCTAGGCAGATGAAAATAGAAACAGCAGGCCTCAGGGGCCCAGTGAAGGGCAGGCTAAGCTATGTCCTCAAAGCAGGGGCCCCAGTGGGAAGCCAGTGACTCTGCTGAGGGAGTCTCACTTGGCTCACCCCACACCTGGCCTCCTTCTCCCTGACTGCCTGCCCCGGGTCACCCACTGTGCCACCCACCTGATAAAATAGCAGCAGAAGATGAGGCTGAGCATGAAGACAAAGATGCCCGTGCCGAAGATGACCATGTAGATGTTGAGGGGAAGGTCCTGGAAACTGATGGGTGGCATTGAGCAGGACTTGTTGGTACTAACCAGTCCCAGGCCACAGAAACACCCTGCAAAGAAAGGGAGAGGAAAAATGTTATAGTTGGAAGTTTACACCGTGGCTGATGTACTCAGTGGTCAGCCAGGATGCAGAGAGAAATGGCAGGCTCTGGGCTCCCACACCTCTTTGATGCAGGGGCTTAACTCCATATCCTAGCTCTAACACTGACCAGCCCTGTGATCTTGGGTAAATAAGTCACCCATGAAATGGGATACTACACCTAGTACTTAACACTGCATCCCCCACCCAGGGGGATCAACGATTCGGCCAATGGAAGACTTGATCCCATCAGCCAGAAGCTCATAGAGAGCAGCAGCAAAATGAAGGCCTTAGGTGAGAAAATGGGTATTTGGGTGGCAACCCTGCCTCTCCCTAGAGATATAACCTTTAAGGAGTTACCTATCTAAGCCTCCCTTTGTTATTTAAAAACAAGGGGAAAACAGGACCAAAGTTGGAAAAAGAAAGCAGCTTTGTAAATTGCAAGGTGTGGTTGTGCAAAGGTCATTTGTCACAAAGCCACCTGGTCCAGGAGACAAGCTGCACTGGGACCAGAATAGAAACTGTTCCCCCCAAGCCTGGGCCAGTGTTCCAGAAAGTGGGGGGGGGGGGCGCGGGGTGCAGTTTGCTTTGGCCACTTTTCCCTTGTCTACTCAAAGCCTCAATGTGTGGCTCCAAAGTGGCACTGGCATCCCTGGGAAGGTTGTTACAAATGCAAAATCTCAGGTCCACCCTGAACAAAATGAATCCGAATCTACATTTTTTAACAAGGTCCTTGGCAGATTCCTAGGCATGCCCGGATGTGGGAAGCACTGACCCGCCCCTAGACGCTTGCCCCTAGAGGCTTCCCCTTTTCCCGTGACTCCGGTAAATCCCGATTAGCCTACTAATCATCCTAGTCACCTTCCCCTTGGCAGGGCTTGGGTGTGGAGGTAGGTAGGTAACAGGGCTCTGGCCAAAGAAGTTCTGCTGGATGAGGGAAGATTCCCAACTTTCTGAGACAACTGGAATGGTGACAGCCACGTTACAGCCAGACCACAAAGCAGTTCAACATAAAGCCAATGACTGAGGGTGGCAGAGGGGACAGGGAAAGAGGAGAAAACATTATGTCAGTTATGGCTGGATTAACCTATCCTGGAGCCACTCTATTTTGGGAGTACTCATTTTTGAGAATTAGTAAATTTCCTGTAATGTTTAAAGTAAGAAAAAAAATATGTATATATATGGAACATAAACAATAAGCCGGGTAGAATGTTCTCTCCTGCAACCAGGACAAAATATTATAGGGATCCAAAGACAAGCATAATAAAATTCTTGGATATCAGCAAGCGTGGAGACAAGAAAACTAGGATCTGCCATAAACCTGCTATACCCCAAGCACTTTCTCATGCTACCAATTTAACTTACCCTTCAACAGGGGGGAGAAAAGGATCATTAAATAAGCTAACATCAAGCAGCTAAGAAGGCTCCTATCCAAAGACCTCTGTGCTCAAGTCTTCAACATGGGTTTTAAACACTGGCCTGACATCTTGGTTAGAAGCCAGAACCCATAAATATACTCCAGAACTCTAGCTTATAATTTCCAGTGTATCACAACTCAGCAGCAGAAGACTGGTTTAAAGGACTGGAAGTCAATTTTGACATCCTACATGTCATGCCTTGTCATCCCCTAGATCAATCTGGTGACCATATCCTGAGCATCCCTTCAAACCTCTTTCAGATGTTGGGCCTAACTCTATTCCAAGTCTCTATCCTAAACACCTCAGATATCTGGTCCCTCTAATTTAGCCCATCACATATTTCCGCAAGCTCATGAGGAGCTTCAAGTCCTCCTAAACACATACACCCTGCATCTCTTCAAATTCCCCCCTACTCACTGTCTTCCAGCATCACCCAACATGGACCAGTCTCACTATTTCTTGTCCAACCTGTCCTTCACCTGCCTCCATACCTTTGTTCATGCAACTTTTCCCTGCCCGAAACTCCATCTTCCCTTCTAGAACTTCACCAGTCCTGGTCCTCATGACACCCCAGTGACCCCTCTCTTCCCTGAATTTTACAGTGCTCACAGCCTGTACCACATGCTCTGACTCTTGCACACTCAGTAACTGTCTTACATTGCCTAACTCTTCCAAGCATCAACTTATTCTAACTCAAATATTGACTATATGACAAGTACCATGACACTGAATATAAAAAAAAGCAAAAAAAAAAAAAAAACCCAAAAACGACTGGATGATTTTATTCTGTAGGGACAAAGACAACACAAAGCCTTTCACCGTACAAAGGGAGGAATGGCAGTAGAGATGGGACTAGAATCCTGAAATCAGATAGTCCTAACAAGCTCAAATGCTCGTAAGTCTGAGGACAGCAGACTTGGACTTGTGTATATTCTCCAGTGCCCCGTCTAGTGTTTGGCTTCTTTTCAATTAACTAGTTAACAGATAAATAACTCCTGAGTTTCAAGACAACCTGGTACCCTTGGCAAAAAACTCCCACTTCAAAGTAAGGAGAGTGATATTTGGGAAAATTGCCCAGAAACTGCCCTCAGCTAATGAATGACCAGTCAACCCACAAGTATTATTGAGGGCCTGATTTATGCTACTGACGTAGACATTGTGAGAAAACAAAAAAACCAGAAGTAGTTCTTGTCCTGAAAGACTTTGTTGAAAAGATTAAATAATTAGCTCCTAACCTTGCTATGTGCAACAGGAAGCCCTTGCTTCTAGGCTCCCTACCTCAGCAACATTTGATGCCGTAAGAGGGTCTAACGCCAATCTGCCTGGGCTCCCCATGCACATTTATGAGCTGGATCCTGGTTATCTTTAGGGTCCCAGAAAACCTCATTGGTTTCCTGTCCTAGGAAACTGCAGGGCGGTGGCCACTGTAGAGATGTATTTGCACTCTGTGGGCATGCTGGCCTCAGTCGTCCTCTGATCCATTTACCTTGACCATCTTACCTCTTCTGGCAGAGACTTGCCCTGGGGTTCCAGGATTGAGTCAGTGAGCTTGGGACATTATGTGATAAAGAGATGTAGGTGAGAAGAGCTTCACAGACAAGAGGAGATGATACATTTTCTTATAATTAAATATAAATGGTAAAGATACATATTGGCCAAAAGCTGTAGTAGGAGCCATTTTTCCTCCAAAACTTGTAAGGGCAGGAAGAATACCAACCCCTGGAAAGAGAGACTCCAGATATTTCCCCTCACGCACACACACACAAAGGGATGGGGGAAGGGACTGCTTCCTCAATGGAGTCAAAGAACAGGATCTATCAGTCACTTTAAGTGACAAGAAAAAGCAGCAAGTCCTCTGCTGGTCTACAAACCCCATATGAAATAGGAGTGCCAGAAAAAAGGGCCCGCCACCTGGGTTCTTCTGAAGCCTCTGTCCCATTGTCTCAGCTGACCTATGAAAGTCTTGACATCTGAATGTCTCATCTCGGTGGTGCGAAGGCTGGGAGCTGGAATGACGTCAAGTGAAAGGCTGGCCCAGAAAGACCAGTGGGTCTGGGAAAGGCTTCCCCTTCCCAGCCAACGGGAATCTTTCCCAGATGCTGGGATGCACCGTCCTTCCTCACCCCCCATCCTCCGCCCCCTGTCCCTCCATGCCCGCCTATCACGCACAGCTTGGTTCATTTTCAGGAAATTAGATCCTACCAGCAAGAGGAAGAGGGGGATGGGGGACGCTCATACACATGCTCTCCCAACCCTGCCTTAAAACAAAAGCCGCTTGAAATAATTAATCCAAGATCTGGCAGGGGTCTGCTCTCAAGAAGGCTTTTTTTTTCTTCTTCTTCTTTCTTTCTTTTCGTAACTAGCCAGCCTACCATACTCAGATAAGGCCAGCCGCACACCCTCCGCCCCACTTCTCCAGAAACTCCAAGGCTCGGAACAACGGGGTCAGGACGCCAAAGCCCCGGGAAGGTTTCAGTACCCCAGACCAACCAATTCCTTTCCACTGACCGGCTCCGAAAGGCCCTCCTTTCAAGTGGCTTGGGTGGAGTCAGACCCACGCCCAACCTGTATCACCTGAAACGCCAAAGAAGCCTCAGGTGAGATGCATTTAGCATCACTCCAGGCCAGGGAGGCCGCAGGGGGGCGGGGTGGAGGGGTCACCGCGTCAGGAGGTGCGGCCCCCGCCGGAGCCCGGGGCTGGGACGGTGGGTCCGGCCTTGGGGCCGCGGAGCCCTGCACCCAGGGGTGCGCGGGCGCCGAGACGTCCGCCGGGCTCTACCCGGGCCGGTGGAGCCGCGCTCCTTACTCGGGCGCCCCGCGCACGCACCAGGCCCCCGGGCAGCCGGGGAGAGGCCAACAAAGGGCCGGAGGAAGCCGCCCCCGCCCCCGCGCCCGCGCCCGCGCCCGCGCCCGGCCCGCACGCCGCACCGTCTACATCTTTAAAATAGCCTGCAAAGTTCCAGGCCGGGAACTTGAGCTCCCTCTAGGAGATCCCAGCCCGAGCGCCGAGTTAATTCTCCGCCGACAACCACAACAAAGACCAGAGTTTGAGCGCACAAAGGCAAGGGAAGGGGGCAGGGGAGCGGGGCCGCCACACAAAGGCCGCGAACCCCGCGGCTCCCACGCCCCCCGCCCGCCGCGCGGCCCGAGGCCCACCGGCCCCGCAGTTAAGCCGGACGGGCGCGCGCCGGGCTGCGGACCACGCGCGGCTCCCGCTCTTCCTCCCGAGCGAAGTTTCTCGGGAGATGGGACGGGCGGGAAGGCGCCCCGGCGCCCCGGCGCCCCGCTCGGCTCCGCAGCCCGGCGCGCGCCCGCCCTCCCGGCCCGGGACTCACCGTTACACCACTGGAATGGGTGCATCTATGAGCTCTCGGCGGGCTTCCCCCGGGACGAAGGCGGGCGGCGGGGCGCCCCGGCGGTCGGGTCCGCTGCAGTCCGCGGAGAGGTCGGGCTCCCGCCGGGGGGGTGGGGGGGGGGGTCTGGGCTTGAGTGGTTTTAGCGCAACAAAGAGGGGGAACGGGAGCAAACAAATGAAAGTGCCCCGGCTCGGCGCAGCCCGGAGGAACGGCAGCAGGGGCCCCGGCGGGGGGAGCGCGGGGCGCTGCAGGGCAGGGGGCCGGCCCGCAGGGCAGGGGAGAGCGTCGGCGGGAAGCGGGCTCGCGACCCTCGGCGCGAAGGTGAGCCGCGGGGACGCCGAAACTGACACCGGCTGCGCACGCCCCCTCCCGCGCCCGCCCCCGCGCCCGCGCCCGCCCCCGCCCCCGGGAAGCCCCGCCCCGCCCCGCGCCCGTCACCCGCCCTCCGGCCAATGGGAGCCTTCCTGCGAGCCCCGGGGATTCAGCGCGGCCCGCGCCCCGCCCGCCCCGCCCGCCCGCCCGCCCCGGGAGAGCATCCCTGCGCCCCGCGCCTCCCGCTCGGCCTCCCCGCCCTCGCGAACCTGAACTCTGCCGAGGCCGGCGCGCGGGGCCGCCGCCGAGGCCCTGGGGCGCTCGGACGATTCGAGCCACGCTGTTTCCCGCCTCCAGGGCGGGCACTGCTGAGCCTCCCCGCAGCTCTCGGAGAAGCCGGGGCGGGGAGGAGTTAGGTCCCTGCTCCGTGCGCCAGGACTCGGTCCCGGGAGGCGCCTCGCACGTCCCTTTGCTCGCTGCGAAAGGGGGGAACTGGAGCAGGAGGGTGAAGACGGCGAGACATCTGCAAGGAGCTCCTTTCATGTTTTGGTCAGAGCCCCGTGTAACGAACAAGGAACCAAGGCCCGAAGGTTAAGTTTAAGGCAGACTTCGCAGGGCGCCGCCCTCCTGAGCAGCAGAAACAAGCCCAGAAGTCGACATTGGCAGTGATACCCCAAGGGCGGTGGCTTCGGCCACCAGCACCACATAGGTGTTGAAATAAATGGCAGTGGGGAGAAAGGCTGAATCTAACCCCCCCCCCCCCGGCCAAAACACTTTCTTTTTATCTGATGTTGCATCGCTTGTCCGTCTCGTCTTCTTGTCTTTTTTGTCTCTCATTTACTCAGGATGTATTGGCCGTGAGCCTGTTTTTGTACCGAGCGCTGTGGCACCAGAGACCCATCAAGGTCGTGGGAGTCAGCGGGGTTCTACTGTCCTGCGATTTTCAGTGCCTGAGGAGACAGACAGTAAACAAGGAAGCAAACAGATAAAAATGACTCAATCTCATCTTCCAGTTAAGCTTAATCTGTTAATTGAAAGTGGTAAACACTTTCCCTAACTCTTGGGAATTTGTGACACTCAAACACGATTATGCATACGAGCGCTTTGTTATTTAAAAGCACGGTGCTTAAGGTATTAAATAACTTGGCTAAGATCACGTCGCAGTAGGCAACGACTGGTTTAGCACTTAATTACATAATTGTCTTAAAACAATTGCTTTTCTCTATGATCTGGCCTTGAGGATCCGAATCATGGACAGATCCAGCTCATTACACCTCTTATTGGGCAATCGCAAAAGCTTCCTAACCGGCCTGACACTAGTGTAGGCCTCAGACTTAGAGCCCACGTGAATCACTTCTATTAAGAGATGTTACATATGCAGACTCCCAGGCCTCCAGCTCAGAGATTCTGATTCAGTAGTTAAAGGGTGGGCCCCAGAATGCCTTGTCTCCACCTCCCCCCACCCCTCCGCTGCCAAATTCCCTTGCAATTATGCTAAGAGAAAGAATGCTCTGATCTTACTCAAAATCCAGCCTCTCTGCTGGGCCAGCATTTTATATTACTGAAACATGAATCTGATCGCTTACTTATCTCGCTTTATTGGTCCCTGTTATTTACTGGATAAAGTCAAATTATAGCAGACTGTTTCAGTGTGGCCTTTGCCTGTTTTCCTAGTGCCAGATACACTCTTCTTCCTCACATATTCTTGGTTAGCTCCAAAGCTTTTGTTGTTGACATCCCTTGAACACAGGATATTCTTTCTTGACTGTGATTTTGTACACGGTATGACTTATGTTTAAGTGCCTTTCCTTTCTGTAACTGACACAACTTGGCAAGATTCAGCTAACAATACACTTCTTCTGTGGCTCACCGTTGTCATCATCCCCATCTCTGCATCTCTTTCAACACTTCGTGTACTTTGTAGTATATCATGAGATTATAAGGATAATTCCGTGATTTCCTAAGTTTGAACCTTTCATGAGCCTTCCTTAGAAGAAATTTTTTAAGGACACGAGCTGCTTTTGTGGTTCTAAGTGTCTGGTTCAATAACTAATTTTAAGAATAGATGTATGTGTGTGCATGTGTATAAATTAGCATACATTTCTTAAACCACGTTCTAGGAACAGTGTTGAGGATTTAAACATGGGTATAATTATTATGCAGTAATGCTTTCTATACATTGATTGACTCAAGGGAAAGGTGTTGGTAGGTGAGCCTGATTGCATTAAGTTCCTGCTGGGCGCTAGGTGCCTCTAAGGGCACAAAATTTCCAACTTTGAAGGAAAAATTGACAGAAGTGAGAAATCCTTCCTCTCTTCCATCTTCCTTAAACTAAAGAGAGTCCTAAGGTGGGAAGATACCTTGAGGGTAGGAACAGCAGGAGTTCTCATGGGAATAGAGCTGGTCAATCAGGACAGTGAACATCTCCCGTCACACCTACAAGGACCATGAATTCAGTCATCAGACAGAATGTTCTATAACAATTTATTTCCTAAGCCTGATATTTTAAACATCTGTAAGCTCTCCTCAGGCACTTTAAAGGACTGTAATTTGGCAAGCCCAATGCCTCCCTTCTCAGTCCCTCAGCCTCATCCTTTCTGGCCATTCAGAGGCACAGTGGTGGGCCTCAGATGATGGCTTAGATTGGAGGAGATGCAGGCCCAAGGGCTTTGGTCTTGTGCATCCTTGAAAAGATTGGTAGGGTCTCTCAGCATTTCCTAGACCGTAGATCTTACCAAAGACAAGCTGATTTCCCACATTGCGTCAATACAATTTAGGTAACTTACCCCCTCTCCCTCATCCAGATGATAATTCAGAGCCCCAGCCTCTTGTGAGTCAGGAAGACAGAACCGTATGATGGATTAAGATGATGGATTATATATTCAAAGTTACTTGAGAAATCTGAAGTAGAATTGTGTTTCTAAATCTTCCATAGAAAGAGGGAAAGGGGGATCCCTGGGTGGCGCAGTGGTTTGGCGCCTGCCTTTGGCCCAGGGCGCGATCCTGGAGACCCGGGATCGAATCCCACATCAGGCTCCCAGTGCATGGAGCCTGCTTCTCCCCCTGCCTGTGTCTCTGCCTCTCTCTCTCTCTCTCTGTGACTATCATAAATAAATAAAAATTAAAAAAAAATAAAAAAAAAAGAAAGAGGGAAAGGTAATACCAAGACTCCAGGAAAACTTCTAAGGAGTCAGGGGTTCTCTTCATTAGTACAACCCTTCCCTAACATTCTCTTAGACACCCCAGGACCCTCCTCATTTTAAGGCCCTTGCAAGCACTAGAGAACCACTTTCTGGAGAGACAGGTAAATCTGTGGAGGAGCATGGGACCAGGAGAATTGATGATCCCATTTTACCATCGGTAAGTCTGTCTTCTTCTTCTTCTTTTTTTTTTTTTTTAGATTTTATTTATTTATTCACGAGAGACACACACACACACACAGAGAGAGAGAGAGAGAGAGAGAGAGAGGCTGAGACACAGGCAGAGGGAGGAGTGGGCTCCCTGTAGGGAGCCCGACGTGGGACTCGATCCTGGGTCTCCAAGGATCATGCCCTGGGCTGAAGGCGGCGCTAACCTGCTGAGCCACCGGGCTGTCCAAGAGTCTCCTATGATCCTCCAAGTCCAGCCCTAAGATATGGAAGAGAATGCTAACCATGGTGATAATTAGAAAGTGATTGTGAAAGGGCACCTGGGTGGCTCAGTCAGTTGGGTGTCTGACTCGTGATCTCGGCTCAGGTCAAGGATCATGAGAAGGGGGAGATCAAACCCCACATTGGGCTCCAAGCTCAGTGAGAAGTCTGCTTGGCATTCTCTGCCTCTTCCTCTACCCCTCCCCCAGCTCTCTCTCAAATAAATAAATAAAAATAAAATCCTTTAAAAAAACCTGATAATTAAGCCCAACTAAATATACCATACTTCAAAATTAAATTGTCACAACATCTTTCCAAAATGTTTTATTTCTTAAGAGAAGTTTGCATGGAGGATCATGTGATTCTTTGAAGGAGTTGAGAGATGTTCATTGTTTGGGCAAATGAGGTCCTTCACTCATTCTATTCTTAAAAGAGCTGGCCTTCCTCTGTCTAGATACCCTAGATGTCTCAGTACCAGGATGCTCTTCAGAGATTGATACGACTCTTGATGAAATGTATTCATAATTTCCTTGGTTCCCCAGGAAAGTGAAGCAGCAATTTCCTCACCCCATCCCTCAGCTTCTGACTCAGATGGGAAATCCAATAGGAGAAAAAGCCATTGGTATGACTGAAGAGGCAAATCTTTTTTTCTCTCTCCATAGGCTGGGTCCATTCTGGGATGATGCCAGGGTTTCATTCTTAAGTATCTTGTAAACATTCCTTGATTGTCTCTCTCTCTCTTTTTATTAGAGTTGGGGAGGGGCAGAAGGAGAGGAAGAGAGAAAATCTCAAGCAGAAATTCTCAGCGTGGAGCCTGTCATGGGGCTCGATCTCAAGACCCTGAGATCATGACCTAAGCCAAAATCAAGAGTCAGACACTTAACCACATGAGCCACCCAGGGGCCCCTCTGATGTTCTTAAGTATCAAAGGAGGCCGGAAGGAAACAGAAGCTAGTGAGTTTAGGGTCCTGTTTTTCCCAGGAATTATACATAATCCTGCTGTGTCTCTGGATTTCTGGAATGAAGCCAGTGCTCTAGGCCACAACTGAACCATCTCCTGCGTGAGTGGAGATGAGATAATAAAGTAGTTGGGAGAAGAGTGACACCTCTGACTGACCACCCACTACATGCCAAGTTCTGTGCCCAGTGCTTCTTGTATTTTCCTGTATTCTTCACCTCCACGTACGATTGTTTTCTACTTGCCTATGGGACAAAATGGAAGCCCAAGAAGGTTAAGTCTTAGGAAAAATCACAGAACTCTTAAATGTTAATAACAGATTTCCAACCAAATTCACGTCTCTCTCCACTAAACATGCCCTTTCCTCAACACTGGTACAATGGTTAAGAGTGAAGGCTCTGGAACCTGGCCTGGTATTGACCCTGCTACACGTCCGTTTCCTTACCTGTGGAATTAGGGCGAGTCGTAGAATCTACCACAGAGGATCATATGAGGAATACTGTGTGATAGATGCTTGGCATGTGACAGGATTAAAAAAAAAAAGCCCCCAGTGAATGTTCATTTGTATTATCGTCAAACTGCATCATGAAGTATCATGGCTCAGAAGCAGCACTAGACCAAAGGGCCAGTATATCTAGTGTATTAATTAGGATGTGGGCTGGATTACTGGGGTGGTTTTGAAAACATGTCTACAAATTGATACTCCTCTCCTGAAGAGGTGGAGCCTGGTTCCTCTTCCCTGGAGATTGCACTGGGCTTGTGGACCTTCTAACAAGTAGAATGAAGCAGAGGTGATACCTCTTGACCTTGGACACTGGGTCATAAAAATGCACAGCAGTTTCCTTCAGAGGCACACACCTATGGAAAAGCCATGTGGTGAGGAAGGTCTCTGTTAACAGGGAGGTCTCTGGAGGTCTCTGTTAACAGCCATGTGAATGAGCTGGAAGGAGATACTTTTGCTTTGGTCAAACCTCGGATGACTACAGAGCCTGCCAACACCCTGGCTGCAACCACCCGAGAAACCCTGAGACAAAAAAACCACACAGTTAATTCACATCGAATTCCTGACCCACAGAAACTATGAGACAATAAATTTTTGTTGTTTTAAGCCACTGAGTTTTGGGGTAATGTGCTGTTTAGCAATAGTTAAATAATACAGCTATTGTACCAAAGAGACATAAAAATGCAGAGGCTCAAAAAAAATCTAGTTTATTTCTGTCTTGTAAATATTCCAAGAAAAGGAGGTGGAAGGCATGGAGGAAGCACTGCTTCCCAAAGTCATCCGGAGACCCGGGTTCTTCTCTCTTGCTACTTGGCCTCATCCTGAGATGTGTTCCTTTTCATCCATCAGAAGCTGGCTTTCTGGGATCCCTGGGTGGCACAGCGGTTTGGAGCCTGCCTTTGGCCCAGGGCGCGATCCTGGAGACCGGGGATCGAGTCCCACATTGGGCTCCCGGTGCATGGAGCCTGCTTCTCCCTCTGCCTGTGTCCCTGCCTCTCTCTCTCTCTCTCTGTGACTATCATAAATAAATAAAAATTAAAAAAAAATAAATGCACCAGCTGTTAAAAAAAAAAAAGAAGCTGGCTTTCTAGTTACATATCTTATGTTTCAACCCCAAGGGAGCGTATGAAAGAGTTGGGGGGGGGGCAGTATCTTCTGTGTAAAAAATAGAACATTACTCTTGTTCCATTGGTGAGAACTTAGTCTCATGGTTCTACCTACCTGCAAAGGAGGCTGGGAAATGGAGTCTCCAGGTGGATGGTCATGAGTCCTGTTGAAGCTCAGGGTGGTTCTATTAGTAACAGGAAGAAGTGTAGAATGGAATGGAATCTAGTGGATGATGAGCGTTTTCCCCCCGAGTCCTGGTGTTGGTGCCTTCTCTGAAACTTCCAGTTAGTTTCCTCTCCTTTTCATTTAAGAGGCGAAGAATCAGACAAGATTTGTAGATTCCAAACCTTTTTGTTTTTTTTTTTTTTGAGCAGAATCTTTTTATTTTATTATGCTTACATATTTTATTTATTTATTGGAGAGGGAGGGAGCACAAGCAGGGGAGAGGGAGAAGCAGACTCCCCACCAAGCAGGGAGCCTGAGCACATGAGGCTCCATCCCAAGACCCTTGGATCCTTATTTGAGCCAAAGGTCAGGCTCGGGTCACACCTAACAGACTGAGCCACCCATGTGCCCCGAGCAGAATCTTTCTATGAAACAATATTTTAAAACAAAAGCTGCATGCATACAAGAAATAAAAACAGATCCGCTCTGTTTGAATCACCAAGGGGTGTCTCTCCCTGTACTTGCTCCACATGGGTGGCCCCGTGAAAAGCTATTTGAAATCCGAGGACTGTGTGAGGCACAGTCAGAAAATCACCGAGTGAGAAGTGCTCCTGGATTCCTTCCAGTTCTGGTATTTTTGAGGTTGTGATCATTCACCTGTGTGTCCTGAGCTGGGCTGGATCACAGCCTTGTCTTGCTTGGCAGCTGGGAGTTTGCTGTACCTGCATTTGTTGGCAGAGGACACTAAAAGAGCCTTTGCTCTGGGCATCTGACCTCTCCTCACTTCTTTGACTCCTTTCCTGACTTTTTGACATCTCTCTCCTTTCTCCTAATGCAAACGAGTGTCCTCCCATCCCAGGGCCAGGGGCCAACGTGCCTCAGAGCTAGGAAGGAGTGTTCTAAGTTGCCAGGACAACGTAGCCTTGTGTTTGGTCCCACAGGTGGGGATGTGGAGATTGTTGAAGCGGACTCTGTCTTCCTCCCGGGTTAATATTTCTACTGCCCCTCTGGCCTTGTCCTCTTCTGGGCTGCCATGGCCTCGACTGGGAGCCCAGGTTCGGTCAAGGTTATAAGTGGTGGGTGTGGACTTGCCCAGCCCTGATCCAGTTCCCGAGACCAGCAGGGAGAGCCCTCTCCCCTCTGATTGGACCCTCCCCAAATTAATCTCACCATTCTCCAAAGTACCACCTGCCTCAGGGAAAGCCACCTAGGGGGAAGAGAGTTCCTTTCTTTGAGTCTGCAGACTTCCAGAACATGGCTGGCTGAAAAACATTCCTCTCCCTGCTTGCTGAGGTCACTCTCCACTTGTTTCCACGGGCTTCCAAAATTCCTTCCAGAGAGACTGGCTGTGCTCGCCACCTCCTCTTGATGCTAAACAAGAATCGGGCAGAGGGGCTTAAGCATCCGCCAAATCTAGGGAACAATCGCAGGCCATGTCGAAGGCTAGTGACCCCTGCCCACAAACAGAACATTCCAAGAACGGCTGGGGTTGAGGTGGGGGTTGGGGAAAAAATGAGGCACGTGGACCCCTCTGGGCTTCTTAGGATAAGGAACATCTTATATTTCTGGGTGAGATGTTAGGCCACCGTGGGGTTGGTCTTACCACAGGGGCTGTTGGCAGATGATCTTACGGAGTGAGGCAGGCCCAGTGTAAGAACCTACACGGTGATGGGTAATAATGGGCTGGACAGCAGGCGGTACCTCACCTCCACTGTCATGTGGAGACGTAGGCTCACTGTCCCTTTCAACTTTGTAAGAGAAACCAGAAATTAAAATTTTGTGGAACATTTCCCAGGCATTGACACGCTGCGTACAACACGGAACCCCCTCTGCTGGTAGATTCGCCCTCGGGCTGCCGCTTGGCTGGCCCTCGACGACAGCCCTTCCCCAGTGAGTCTTTCTCCCTCTGCAGCGTGTCACCAGCTCCCAGTGAAAAACAAAAAACAAACAAACAAAAACAAAAAAACAAAAACAACCCTGTTGGAGATTAGTCTCAGCATTCTAAGCCAGTGGCTAGATGTACACAGGGAAAGGTCTTTACGGAGCGTCCAGGGGCTTGTACTCGTTTCCCATTGCAGTTGTAACAAATCAACACAAACCGAATGGCTTAAACACTGTGAATTTATTTATCTTACAGTTTTGTAGATCAGAAGTCTGACACGGGTCTCACGGGGCCAAAATCAAGCCCTGTCAGCAGGGCTGGAGGAAGAGGGGATAATTCATTTTCATGCTTCTTCCCTGCTTCTAGAAGCCACCGGCATTGCTTTCCTCATTCATGGCCCCCTTCCCTGTCTTCTAAGCCAACCATGGGGCTCAGCCCTCACATCAAATCTCTCATCATAGTGGGAAAAGTTTCTCTGCTTTTCAGGGTTCATGTAATTGGGCCCACCAGAGAATCCAGTGTTATTTCCCCATGCAAGCACAAACTTTAAAACGGGTTTTGTCTTGTTTTGTTTTTTAAAATTTATCTAAGCAATGCCTCCACCCGATGTGGGGCTCAAACTCATGAGCCCAAGATCAAGAGTTGCATGCTCCGCCAATAGAGACAGCCAGGCACCCTACAAAGTTGTAGTTTCATCACCTCTGCAAAATCCCTTTTGCTACATGACATAACATTTTCCCAGGCGCCAGGGATTAGGGTATGAACAGGACTCTTCCCTAAACTTTTGGATCTTTGGCTCCTTCTTCAAAAAAAACAAAGCTCAGGGGAGAGAAACCTAAGATAAACAGGAACTTTCTTTTCTGTTTCTTTCTTGTTTTATTATTATTTTTTAAATGTCAATTCCACATACAGTGTTATATTAGTTGCAGGTGTACAATAGAGTGATCCAACAATTCTATACATCAGGACAAGTGCATTCTTAGTCTCCTTCACCTATTTCACTCATCCCGCCACCTCCCTCCCCTCTGGTAACTAGGAGTTTGGGATAATATTTTCTTTTCTTTCTTCTTTTCTTTCTTTTCTTTCTTTTTTTAAATAGTTTTTTTTCTTTTTTTTAAATTTTTTTTATTTATTTATGATAGTCACACACAGAGAGAAAGAGAGAGAGGGAGAGACACAGGCAGAGGGAGAGGCAGGCTCCAAGCACCGGGAGCCCGATGTAGGACTCGATCCTGGGTCTCCAGGATCGCGCCCTGGGCCAAAGGCAGGCGCCAAACCGCTGCGCCACCCAGGGATCCCTCTTTCTTTCTTTTCTTCTTTCTTTCTTTCTTTCTTTCTTTCTTTCTTTCTTTCTTTCTTTCTTCTTTCTTTCTTTCCTTTCTTTCAAGATTTTATTTATTTATTCATGAGAGACACACAGAGAGACACAGGCAGAGGGAGAAGCAGGCTCCATGCATGGAGCCCGATGTGGGACTCGATCCCAGGACCCCAGTATCACACCTTGAGCCAAAGGCGGATGCTCAACCATGGAGCCACCCAGGTACCCCTATCTTTCTTTATAACCAGTCTCACTCTCCCCGTAAGCTGTCTTCTCTGCAGGCCATTATTCCAGCACGGCCATTCTGTGCAGCCAGGCCTGGCCCTCTCCAGCCAATGTTAATGCCCAGCTGCCTCTCTGGTTCCTTCCATCTGCTGCCTCGTGGCTCAGAAGCAGCCGCTCTCCCTTAGCGCCTCTCCCTGTGGAGCTTCTCAGCTGGGATTAGTTACAGGGTGAGGGACCGGACAAACATTCCTCCCTCTCCCCAGAGGCAGCAAAAGCTCCCCGTCTTGCCACAAAGGTTTGAGTCAACATCACCCAGGCCAGGGCTGGAGGTGGCAGGGGCAGGAGCAGGACAGAATGACAAGACTGACTTGGGCCACAGCCCCCGAGGGGCCGGGCCCAGCCGGCTGAAAGCACAGGCTGCATCTGACAAGAGCTCATTTATTCCTGTCCTTTGCTTAGGTTCAAGCAGTCAACTGCCCCCAAGAAGAGGAAGAGAGAGACTGGACTTTGAACATTGGTTTTGGCAGGTGGGAGGAAGACCAGCCTGTGACAGCTGTCACCCCCAGCCCCTTGGGAGGACAGCATTGATTCTATCTGTGTAATGACCAGGCTGTGAGGCACCCCCTCATCTCTCCCTGGAACACACACACACACACACACACACACACACACACACACGCACAGGCACAGGCACACTTATAATGTGAAATGGTGGAGTTAGGGACGAAAGGCATAGCAGGAGGGTGATTCTACTCGGGCTCTGAAGCCAGAGCACCGGGTCTGAATCCTTCCACTGGCCGCCTCTGTGTCCTGGGGAAAGTTCTTTCGCCTCAGCTTCCCTGTCAAGAGATGCCAATGACATCTTTCACAGGGTTTTCATGAGGATTAAATGGGTTGATATCTTAATATCTATAGAGGCAAAAGACTGCCTCAGCACAGCCATCACATGGCTTTGTTAAATAATACAAATATGTAACCTGCTCCGAGAGGATAATCTTTGGCCAAATATACTTTAGTCGCTATACTTCCTGACTAGAAGTTAGAAATAAATTCTCAAGTTGACTCAGCTTGAAACAGTTCTAGGGGATTTACTTGAGGCACATTCAGCCTGCATTCATACAGCTGTATTTTAATTTATTTAAGCAATATCTCCACCCAACGTGGGGCTCACACTCACCTGCTCTGTGAAGATAATCTTTGGCCAAATATACTTTAGTCGCTATACTTCTCGACTAGAAGTTAGAAGATGCTGCAGGTTACATCAATAGTGACAGATATATGTACTGGATTGGAACAAAGGTGGTGCCAGGTCCACGGGGTACTCTGTACTGGTCAGGTCATGCTTAGGGTCTGTCTGTCTAAAGCCTGAGTTACTTTTGGGTTATTTGATCTTATTCTTAAATCCTCTTGCCCATGGTTCTGATAGGGAATCGATGCATTTTAATTAGAATCCACATTTCTAATTACGGCCTCATTCTACCCCTTAGATAAGTTTGACCCTCAACGGTAATAGAAATTTAAGGTCCTGGCTACTAGATTTTGCCGGTCTAGCTTGAAGCACCGAGACCAGTGCTGGTTGCCACAAACAGAAAGAGACGCCTCTATTGGCAAGGCTGAGGGGGAAACTTGAAACATGACAAACTCAGACTCTTGGAGACAATCAGAGCTGCTAGGCGGAAAGTAAGAGGACACAGAAGAGCCAGGAGAAGCTGGCCTCAAACCAGGGGAGGCATGGAACAAGAGAAAGAACACTTACTAAATACTGCCTGTGCTCTGAGCCTCATACTTGCATATCTGATTAAATGCCCAGTGACACTGGGGAAGCAGACAGGACTATCGCACCTGACAGGTGGAGAAGGGTTTGCCAAGTGACTTACCCGAAGGCCCTAATAGCCAGGGAGCCCAGGCTGGTGCATCTTTTGGCCTCATGTCGCTACTACTGTAACCAGACTGCATGATGCATGCGTGGTATTAGAGCTTTCTCATATTCAGAGCTGGTAAAATAGTATGGACGTTATGTACTGGTTCCTTACCATCAACGGTGTCCAAGGAGGTGCTTGATGAACAGCATCAAAGGTATTAAAAAAAAAAGCTGATTTATTTATGCCTTGTTGGAGGGTGGAAATGGATCATCTATGGAGGCACCTTCCAGCTTTGAGATTCTGAGTTTCTATACTTTGGGGTAAGATACACTCTTTAGGTATATTAAGTGACTTCTTCTCCCTGTAGTTTCCACATTCTCTTCTGTCCCCTACTCCTAGTCATGCAGATTTTCCATTCTAGGAACATGTCTTTTTCTTCTTTCTTTCCTTTTTTTTTTTTTTTTAAAGGAGGGATGTGGTGGCTGGCACTTCCCAGCTGGGATAACAGAAAAACCAAGATGGTTCTCTCTGGTTAGTGAGTCTAAATTTTCACTAAGTTGACTAAGGAGACTGCATTACATTCTAATGAGGCAAACCTGGAAAGATTACAAGAGGAAGCAATTACATCACCTCTCTTTCTTTCTCCTCCAACTTCTGGGTACCAGGCAAAGTCCAGACCCCTGAATATAGGATTTAGGGCTGGGGTTGATTTAAGATTAACATTCGGCTAGCCCATCACGATGGGGACTTGACATAGAAGTTGGCAAATTTCTTGAAAATAAAGCTGTCTTTCTTCCACACCTGAGCTTGGGAACAGAGATCTATTTTAAGCTTGGCAGATGGAGGCTGTGCCTTCCCAGCAGCAGCTCCACGAAGCGGCTGCATGCCTGGTGTTTCTGGTCCTCTGCTGCCCCCGTGTGGACACAGCGGGAGATAACACACCAAGACTGCGCTGGCGGCCAGGAGTGAAAGTGAACTCGAGAGAAAGAAGCGGCGGCCCCTGACAGCTACTGGAGGTTTATGACCACTAGGAGGGAGTCAGGAACTGTTGCTGAAAAGCCCCCAGAAAGCCGGGGGTTTCCAGGAGGCAGGTGGGGAAGGCCCTACAAGCTGTCAACGACTTCACCAGGATCTTGTCTTGTCCAGCATCTTTATTTCCCCCCAAGACACCTGCAGCCAGGAAGCCAGCGAGCATCTAGACTCCCAGGCCTGCACCTCTGCAGCTTCTGGCCGCGACCAGCGCCCACGGGCACAGCGCCAAGCCTCCCACACCTCCTCTTCCTGCGCTTGGAGTAACAAGTCTGTGTGAGTGTCTCCCTCTGGTTTCACAGCTTTTCACACTCTCTCTTTACCGTCTGTCTCTCCACCACCATCGACACACATATCTCCACCATCACGTTCGTGCTTGCAGCATCCCTGACTCCCCGCACAGGCACAGGGCAGAGATGGCGTTTTTGTTTTGATAAGTGAGCGAGGGGAACACTTGGGCACAATGGGCGGGGGAGGGGGCTCAGGGTCACGGGAGCAGCCTGGCTGGAACCCAGGGTGTCTGAATCTACCTACAGCTTGGCAGCTTCCTTTCCCGGGCAGCTCCTCCCTGGGTGCCCAGCACACAGCCCGACCTCTCTCCCCATCCCCTCCCGACCAACAGCAACGGCGGTGGGAGCCGCAGCCCTCTTGCTCCCCTGCCCACAGGAGAGGATGGGATCTCTGCGCCTCCTCTCTGCAGCCGGGAGCCAGGGACAGGTGCACCTGGCCTGAGCGCCTTCCTCCGCCCTCAGGCCTCCAGACCCTGCCGCAGCCTGCGGTCCAGGGCCAGGAGCTGCCTCAGGAAGCCCCGGTTGGGGATGATGCCTCGGTGGTCCTTGACTTTCTTGATGGCCTCCACGAGGGTGAGGTGGTGGTAGAGCATGAGGTAGGCCAGGACCAGTGTGGCGGATCGGCTCACTCCCACGGCGCAGTGCACCAGGATCTTCCCTGGGGGGACAGACACGCGAGGCAGCGGTGGGACGCTTTGTGGGTTGGAGGCAGCTAGGGAGAGGGCTACGGGGCCATGTGAGGAGGAAGACAGGTGAGCAGGTGTGCCCGGAGACAGGCTGGGGTGCCCCTAGGGGTGGGCAGTATGCGGACCCCCGGGAGGCCTAGACAGGAGAGGATGGACAACATGCAGCGGCTCAGCGTCCGGAAGCCTGCAAAGGGTGGACACTGTCCAGGTCGACACTCGTCACTCAGGTAAAACTGAGTCTAGCACAGAGAGGGGGTCCGATGACAGTTCCCAGGTGCCTTAGCATTGCCGTTCCGTTAGCGCTTTGGATTACTTCCTTTCCTTCTCATGCACTGCCTTTTACAAATAGTTGCGGGTATATTTCTTTCCTCACTCTCATATCCTGAGCATCCTGTCATGTCATTCAAATCTCTCTATACTTGAACACCCGGGTTTTCCCCTAACCCGATGTCCATCATCCCTGTCCCCACCCCCCCTTCTTCCCCTAGCTGTCCCCTCCTACCTCCTGGCTGGCTCAGCGCCCGGTGGATGAAATCGGCAGCCGTCTGGAAGTGGATGCTCATGTCAAAGGCTGGCGAGTCGTGGGCCTCGACCCCCAGGTAGCGGATGCCCAGCCCCTGGTAGACCTCGGGCGTGCCCCGCCACCTGCTGTGTGAGGCATTGAGGACGTGGGTGATGCCCAGGCGGCGGAGCTCACGGCGGTTGTTGGCTATGTCCCTGCATCGAGGAGAGGTCAGAGGGAGGGTGGGGGATCTAGGCTCCGGGGCCAGAGGCCCAGGTCTCCACCCCGTCTGCCGCCTAGCTAGTGTCATTGGCTCCATGCCTCCACTTTACTTACTGATGACCCAGAGGGGAAACCAAGGTGGGCAACGACCTGGAGTCTCATCCGTGAGCGAGGGTGGAGGGTGCTGGGGACGTTCTGGTTGAGGAAGAGAAGACTAATGGGGTGGGCGGACGATAGCCATAATAAACTACTGAGAGTCCTCCCAGGCAGCGGGATTTTACTGGGTCTGTGGGAAGGACTGACCGGACCTGTGCTTTGCAGAAGGAGGCAATTCTCCCGGTTTATCCCATGCTCACACTGACCCTGTTTCATGATGTCACCTTCAGGTGTTCCTCTGGCCCATGCCCGTCAGCCTAGACGCGGACGCCTCTCAGGCAGCCTGGCCTTGCCTTGGGGCCAACGCCCCGTCCAGTGCAAGCTCCTCAAGTACGAGGAGCCCTGAGCTTCAACCTCCAAGTCCTGTGTGACCTTGGGCCAGTCACAACTTCTCCACGCTTCAGTTTTGCCATCTGTAACCTGGGGGTAGTGGGGCCTACCTCACAAGGCTGTTGTGAAGATTAAGAGCTAAAATGCATGTGAAAAACTCCTTGTAGACTGTAAAGCCCTTGAGAGAGAGAGAGAGGTGAGAGAACTCCTCTCTGGATGCTCTTCTCTCCATGGCCCCCATCCTGCAGAACCTCTGCACGCACTGTGGCTTTGCCTGTCAACCCTTCGGCTTACTACCCACTTCCTGGCCCCCAGTGGCTGCCTTTTTTCAGCATCACAGCACAAGAGATGGAAGGTCAGAGACATCATCTATTATGTCCGCCACATGGCACTGGCACTCGATAATTAATTTTGCGAAGTGAGTGACATTATTACCTGAACAGAGACTTCCTGTCCAGAGTTGGGTATATTGATAATCTTGCCCAAACTAGCCGAACTCCCTCAAACTCTGCAGCCTCCACTCGCTGCCCAAGCACCCCTGCCCCTCCATCCTCAACCTGGATTCAACAACACGACTCAGTGCCTGCCTGCCACCCTTCTCCTTTCATCTTGCATGTACACACACACACACACACACACACACACACGCAGCCATGACCCAGGGCTGCCAGGTACATACTGGTCTCCGAGGTAGAGGCCTGGCCAGACCTCATCGGCATGGTTACAGGCTGTCTTGCCTGTGTAGAGGAGCCTCTCCAACTCAAAGACATTGAGGAAGGGATGTTGAACAGCTGGCATCTCTTCCAGGGCCCCTCTAGCGCGAACAGGAGACCTTGAACTGCTCCGGGAGAAGCGGGCCATAAAAGTCATGGAGGCCCAGAGCCAGTTACCAGGGCACATCGTAGAGGTGCTGGAAACCGTGCCAGCTGCAGGGGTGGCTGCGCTGATGATGGCTTAGTCTCCAGGTAGCTGTTGCTGGAGGAGGAATGGAAGGGAGACACACCTGAGTGGGTCCAGAGCAGCTGCTTCCCTTCTTGCCAACTGGGCTGGGCCCTGGGGAGAAGCTTCTCAAGGGAGGGAAGGTTAAGTCTGGCCCTAGCAGGGGGCGACTCCACAATTACTCTTTCCTTCAAGCTGCAGCAGCTCCTCTCTGCTCTTTGGCTCAGCCAGGCAAGGAGGTGGGAGTCACATGTCCTTGTTTACGGGAGAAGGAGCTGCCCAGCTGCTGGCTTTCTGCTCCACCACTCCACCCCCACTCCCAACACACATACATAAACACGCACACACACACACACACACACATTTGATATTTGGGTGGCAGTGCCCATTGCGGGAACTCTTGCCAGCCTGAATCTGGGTCTCATCTGTCTGGGGCTACAGGCAGAGAGCCCAGGGAGCTGGGATGGGAATGGGGGGTGGCTCTGGATCCATCCAGGGAGAATTAGCAGGAAGACAGCAGCTGGGGCCATGACATATGCCAAGCCTGTCTCCTCAGCGACAGAGACATGGGCTGCTTTAACCCATTCCTGCCCCACCACTGCCTTAGAGTTGAGCCCACTATGGGAAGTGCATGTTGTGGGCTGAGGTGAGTGGGGAATAGCAATAAAGATGAAGCGTAAGTTTCTGAAAAATACTTGCCGAATGCACACACTAGTGGAAGAAGGTGCCAATCTATATGCACAACAGCCAAACCACTCTCCTTTCATCAGCACACAGAAATTGTTGATCAAACCTCATCTCCAAGGTGAGGATTTCTGAGTCAAGCAGGGCTGGACTAATGTGTCTGGGTGTGTGGGGGAGAGGCGGAGGCTGGGGTCCAAGGAAAGGAAAGGATGAGGGGTCCTGCCAGGCCCAGGGGCTCAGAGGCTGAAATTGCCATCTGTCTTACTGTTGGAGTCCAGTGAGCCTATGCAGGGCATGGGGTTGGCAGTGAGGGTAGCGGGTGTGCCTCCGACTCTCCGGGGACAGCTGGCCCTTCTGATAGTGGGAGCCTGGGCAGAGCTGCACAGCAGGGAAGTGCCAGCCTGTGAGACTTGTCCTGGGTCCTTCAGGCAGAGAGGCCACTATGGCAAGAGTCCCTCTCTCCTTCTCCTCTCCCCCTCCCACGACCAGACCAGGATGGGCTGGTCCCAAGGATTCCCCTTCCAGTCGCTTCCTGGTCTTCTGCCCCAGGCACCTCAACCAAACGTCTAGTAGCCAGAGGCCATCTTTGACCTGCACACCCTCTGCCACCCATCCGTCGCTGTGACCAGGGTCCGGGCTCTCCTTTCCCCCAGACCAGGGGAGACCATGCTTGTACAGGTCTCAGGGAGCAGGGGCATTAGGATCAGGCCTGCTAGGGGGAGCCAGCCTGGATCGTAGGGTGTTCAGGGAGATTTTTGCAAAGGCTGGGGCCGAAGGAGCACAGACACACAGCACTATAGCCACCATGGCCACCATCGCCGCCGCCACCACCACCATCACCATCTGCCTTGTTTTCCTCGGGGCCTAAAGGCACCATCATCACTTTATTCCCAAACAGTGGTTTCTCGAAACAGGTTCTGCTGCCGGAGTGATGCTGAACGGTAGAAAGGGAGCGGGAAGGAGCTCGGGGAGACTCTGTCCCCCGGGGCTGGAGGCGCAGCCCCACTCCGCCCCCGGGGTACACCCCTGCAGTCCCACCGCCGCGATCAGGCTCCCCAACACCGCCCCCGCCCCCCGCCCTCCCCCCACCCCCTCCCCGCCCGGCCCGCCCGGGGCGGCTGTAACAGGTTCATGGCTGTCGCCGCGGCCGGCGCTGAGGGTGCAGGAGGGTGCGGGGGGTGCGGGGGGTGCGGGGGGAGCCCCGGGAGCTCAGCCAGCTCGCTCCGCGCCCCGCCCGGGGCCTCCCCTCTCCCGGGGCCCCCACCGCGGGGCCCCCCCCTCCCCTCCCCTCCCCCTCCCCCCCCCCGCCCCAGCGCCCCGCGCTCCCCGCAGCCCCCGTACCTCGGTGCGGGCGCGGCCGGGGGCTCAGTCCCGGAGGCCGATCGCAGGCGCCGCGGGCCCCGCGGCCATGACTCTCCTCCCGCCGCCGCCGCCGCCGCCGCCGCCGCCGCCGCCCCCGCCCGCTGCCGCCGCGACACCGGCTGCCGGATCAGCCGCTATTTTTAAGCCATGACACGCACGTCGAAGCCGGGCTCACCCGTGCGCGCGTGTGCCGTGTGCCGGGGGCCCCGGGGCGCGGCGCCCAGCGGGCCGAGGCGGCCGGAGCGTGGGCCGGGCTCGGGGGTTCGCGGCCCCGCCCCGCGTGCACGCCCGGCGGACGGCTGGGCTCGGGGCTCGGGGCCGCGCCAGTTACCAGGCGTTTCGCTTGAGGGGGACGCGACGCAGGTGGTCCCGGAGCTGCCTGCAGCTCGGCCGCGCGGACCCCCGCGTCGACGCCGGGGCGCGCCTCGCCTGCGCTTTCCTGCCCGCAGGAACCCCGCGTCGTAAGTGACCCTGGGCCACACCCGTGTTAGTGTTGGCGAAGAGCCACGTGTCTCACTTCGCTCAACTCGGTTTATTGTCACCACAGGTCTGCGACACGGGTAGCATGGTCGCTGTCCCCGTTGCAGAGAGGGGGAGACCGAGGCACAGGGACGAAGGAGAAGTCATTTGCCCAGGCCGCTCGCTGGTTACGGGCGGAGCCGAGTTCCAGGCCCGGGCAGTTTGACTCCAAGTTCCTGTCCTTAAGGGCTACACACCAGTGACCCGGCAGCCCCAGTGGCCCAGCGGTTTAGCGCCGCCTTCGGCCCGGGGCCTGACCCTGGAGACCCGGGATCGAGTCCCACGCCGGGCTCCCTGCATGGAGCCTGCTTCTCCCTCTGCCTGTGTCTCTGCTTCTCTCTCTCTCTGTGTGTGTCTCATGAATGAGTAAATAAAATCTTAAAAAAACAAACCAGTGACCCCACACCACAGAGAAGCCAGTTGCACCAGCTTGGCTCCTAGCGAGCACCTTTCCCCCTGACTCTGGAAGGAATGCGTGTCCCTACCTCTTCACTTGTGTTGCCTTTTAGTGATGTGTAGGTTTACCTGCTTTTCCACGCCTTGTCAGTTCCGGGATGGTCAACACTCCCAAGGCAAGGGTGGCGCTACTGTCCCCAGGCTCTAGTCCATCCTGTGATGGGGAACGTGGCCTGGGGAATGAACCTCATCAGATGATGCTGCTGAAAACCAGGCAGATGTGGACTCTAGGAGAGTTGTCTGAGGGAGCGAGGCGGGAAGTTGATAAGGTCAGGCTGGACCTGGTTTCAGATGAGAAGACCTTAGCAACTGTAGCTGAAATCAGGATTGACTACGGTCCCAGCGGGGGCAGTAGGTGAGGCTTTGATCTCTGGTTAAAGAAAGTACTTACTGGCCAAAGTGACTGTAATCTTCAGGTCAGTTCTGTGCTAAAGAGGAGTTTCCATCACAGGCTGCCGGCAAGGGGTAATTTCCCTCCTAGCCTTTTCCTCTCCAGAGAAGCAAACTCAATTCCTTTCCATGCCTTCTTGGCATGGCGGTTCACTTGAAGAAATGAAATCCTCATCACTGAAAACAAAGGATTGGCTGGGGAAATTTGACATTTGAAATTTGTCATTTCAAGAAAAGTCAGTAAAAAAATGGCCACAAGTCAAATCGTGAAAGAGCACATATTATTAGACTAACCTCATTTTAAGTAATAGGATCCTTAGGGTTGGTAGGGTGAGAAGAAGATGTTGCAGGTGAGCTTGATCTTAATCTTTGGGAAGACTTCCGTTTCAACCCTGCATTTCACTTTTCTCAAAAACCTGGAAAAATATGCTTTAAAGCATGCTATGGGTGACACGGGCAGATGTTTATGGGTAATCACAGATGTTGTCCATGGATCACTGTCTTTACGAGGACCATTATTACCAGGAACAAACCACAACTCAGGTGGCTTTATATTTTTCTTTGTGGCTAAGAGGTTTATTATGTTTCCAGGTGACACCAAACTAAACTAAGGTTGAGAGGTGGAGGGAGGATAGAGGAAATGGTTCATAGAGAGAAGGAAATGCAGAAGGTAGGACAGGAGACGTTTGGAAGCTAGTAGAAGCTGCATGTATTAATAATTTATTAACTGTCAATTCCTTGGGCTTTCACATTTATCAACTCATTTAATCCCATGCAGCTTTTAGGTGGGTGTTATTATCCTCACTGAGTCCATGAGGAGACTGATGCTTGGCCAGATAAGTTAATTTATCCACAGCTAGTCAATGGCAGAGCACAGGTCCAAACCCAGGGCTCTCTGATTCCAGATGTTTGTATTGCAAGATGAAGCTGAAGAGTCACTTCCTTTATAAAACCTTTCTCGATCTACTGTCTGTTGTCTCTTCCTCATTTGTGTTGATACAGATATCTATCAAAGGAACCATGAGCTATATTTAATTTCACTTCTTTCTTTTTTTTAAAGATTATTTATTTATTTATTCATGACAGATACAGAGAGAGAGAGGCAGAGATACAGGTAGAGGGAGAAGCAGGCCCCCCGTGGGGAGCCCGATGTGGGACTCAATCTCAGGACCCTGGGATCATGCCCTGAGCTGAAGGCAGATGCGCGACTGCTGGCCACCCAGACATCCCTAACTTCACTTCTTTCTGTACCTCTTTACATCTCTGCTCTCCATACTAGAAGGCATGAATGGATACACTCACTATACTGGGATGAACTAAGACTTGAAAAAATGAGGTCACTAAAAAATAGGAATAGATTTCCAGGTGGTATCAAAAGAAATGCCTCTCTCCCCACAAAATATTTAAATAAGAGAGAGAGGGAGAAGAAGTAGAATGGGGAGAAAAACCCCTAGAAACACCAACAACCATGTGTTAAATGGTAAGCCTAACCCCTACCATTAACCACAGGCTGGGCACTATGCTAAATGCTTTACATAGATTAGCTAATTTAATCCCATAAGGTAGGTATTCATTCCATCTTACAGTTGAGGGAACAGGTGTAGAGTGGTGGTAAATCCACTCTGCAGCAGTCAAGTAGCTAATAAGTGGGATTTGGGCATGGATTTAAACCCAGGACTGTTTTAAACCAAAGCCTGTGCCAAGTAGGCATACCTGAAGATAAAGAACAGCAGTAGTTAAAATGCACCAAGTCCTACTGTGTGGCGGGCTTTGGGCAGAAATTCCAGGTCGGCAGGCATTCCCAGACCTTGAGTCCTTGTCCCCTGGGGGTGTGGCTCGCCGGTGGCAGGGTCCGGGGTGCGGCGCGGGCGGCGGGAGGAGCTGGGCCCGAGGTGGGGGCCCGCGGTGCCCAGCTCCCCCCGCAGACAGGCCCTCGAGCAGCAGCCCCGGGCTCGTCCTCCCCCACCTCTGCCGCGGGTTCAAACAGCATTTCCCCCTCAAGGGTCCAGGAGCTGAAGACAGACCGTGGTGACTATTTAGCGATGGGCCTGTGGTGAGGGGAGGCGGAGCGGAAGCCTCCCGGTCCTTCGGGATGCCCCGTGCTGATTGTGATTTATTCCTGCAAATCCCCATCTCCCAGGGCCTGTCCCTGGGCTTGCTCCTCGGGCCCTCGGTAGCGCCTCCTCTCCCCCAGGTCGGCAGGTGGGACTGGTGGGCCCTTCCCTCCTCGGGCTCTTGCTAGTTGTGAATTGGAGGTGGAGGAGCCTCTGAATTGGTGTGTCGAGGGACAATCCGGCTTTTGCTGAACTCCCAAGCCTTGCTCTTCATCTCCCCTGCAATGCATTCTGTAGCCACTTTCCTTCTGGTTTACCTAAGGATGAACACTTTGTACCGCTCAGAATATTCACTTTCTTCTAAGAGCCACACATTATCGCAATGAGCCGATATTCCTTCCATTTAGCCTGCCTTTGGAATGAAAATAAACTCTACAGAGGCTAGTGTCCTTATAGCAGAAATAAGCCAGGACGCTACGTGCAAATAAAACAAGTTACAAAAGGAATATGCAGCAAATCCCTCTTTAAAAAAAAAAAAAAGGAAAGAAAAAGAAAAGTGTGTATAAATACACATTTTGAAAAAGACTGAAAGGGAACTATGCCGAATTTTTAAAGAGGGGAGCTCTAGCCAGAATGGGATGACAGAAAATTTTTACCTTGTGCTTTAAAATATCTACATTTTGCAATTTTTCTAGTGTATATGAATTCACTTTATTTTTAAATTATTTTTTATTGGAGTTCAATTTGCCAACATATATATAGCATAACACCCAGTGCTCATCCCATCAAGTGCCCCCCTCTGTGCCTGTCATCCAGTCACCCCATTCCCCTGCCCACCTCCCTTTCCACCACCCCTTGTTTGTTTCCCAGAGTTAGGAGTCTCTCATGTTCCATCACCTTCTCTGATATTTCCCACTCATTTTCTCTCCTTTCCCCTTGATTCCCTTTCACCATTTTCTATATTCCCCAAATGAATGAGACCATATGTTTGTCCTTCTATTGACTTACTTCACTCAGCATAATACCCTCCAGTTCCATCCACATCGAAGCAAATGGTGGGCATTTGTCATTTCTAATGGCTGAGTAATATTCCATTGTATACATAGACCACAGCTTCTTTATCCATTCATCTTTCGATGGACACTGAGCCTCCTTCCACAGTTTGGCTATTGTGGACTTTGCTGCTATAAACTTTGGGGTGCAGGTGTCCTGCCGTTTCACTGCATCTGCATCTTTGGGGGTAAATCCCCAGCAGTGCAATTGCTGGATCATAGGGCAGTTCTATTTTTAACTCTTTGAGGAACCTCCACACAGTTTTCCAGAGTGGCTGTACCAGTTCACATTCCCACCAACAGTGCAAGAGGGTTCCCCTTTCTCCACATCCTCTCCAACATTTGTGGTTTCCTGTCTTGCTCATTTTCACCATTCTCACTGGTGTGAGGTGATATCTCATCGTGGTTTTGATTTGTATTTCCCTGATGGCCAGTGATGTGGAGCATTTCCTCATGTGCTTGTTGGCCATGTCTATGTCTTCTTTGGTGAAATTTCTGTTCATGTCTTTTGCCCATTTCATGATTGGATTGTTTGTTTCTTTGCTGTTGAGTTTAATAAGTTCTTTATAGATCTTGGATACTAGCCCTTTAACTGATAGGTCATTTGCAAATATCTTCTCCCATTCTGTAGGTTGTCTTTTAGTTTTGTTGACGGTTTCTTTTGCTGTGCAGAAGCTTTTTATCCTGATGAATTTCCAATAGTTCATTTTTGCTTTGTTTCCCTTGCCTTCATGGATGTATCTTGCAAGAAGTTGCTGTGGCCAAGTTCAAAAA